AAAAAGTAAATAGCTCTAATTCTCAGGAAGGTTGCATTAAGTAGCAATATGGTGAATCATAGGAGTACCCAGGACAAGAGAGGACCCGAGTTGAATCAGAACAAAAAGTCCTGGAGGATTTCATAAGTAACTTTGGCCACTTACTAAAAAGATCCCTCTGACTGAAACCAAATGCTCTACCCCTGAACTACATCCCACTGTCCTAGGTGGTGGCACACACCTATTCGGGAGACAGAGGCAAGCAGATCTTTGTGAGTTCGAGGCCAGCCTGGTCTACAGGACCAGAACTACCAGGGATATTACAGAAACCCTGTCACAAAAAAAGCCACTCTGGCTATCAGGAATCACATAAAAGCAGAGAGGCTGGTGGTGGAGAGAAATGCCTAACCTACAGGAACTAATGGGGGCAGCACAGTTACTGGGGACAGTGTGACTGGTGGTGAAAATTGTAATCTCAATGTTATTTCAAAGTATAAAATTAGAGCCTAGTGATGGATTAGCTAGCCAACAGACAAGGCAGAAGTTTTCTTTTGAGGAATGATAACTGTGTTGAGGGAATATTAGGATTTAACTAGAAGTAAAGTAAGGGATGGACAGAGACTGTAGCCCAGCCATCTTCTACTTCTAGGGCATTGTCTAGGATGATGGAAGGAAGAGTCTCTTATTTATTTGGCTGACTAACTGGAGACATTAAAACCAGGGTACATGTGGTATAGCTATAAAATGCTTAAAGATTATATTATTTGGAAAAATTTTTATATAAAAAGTGCAGAGGATTCCACATGAATCCTTAGTTTTAAAACTTAGCTATATAAGAATTAGACATATGGAATGTAATGGATAGATTCTATATGGTTGCTTTTACAGAATGCTGCCAATAAAGACTATGCGCTCCATCTTGCAGAGTCACATCACAGCGTTCACTGGAGAACAACAGTTAGGAAGACAGAATGTTTTGTCTGTAGTAGAAGATCCCAAACCTTCTACTGAAATTAATTAGGGAGCTTCAGCCTGCTTATAAAAATTCAAAGAATGCATTTAAGATAAGTATGAACTAGGCTAAATCTGGTCACCTACCAATCTATGTAAATATGTATTGCTTTGGCAAATATGCATTATATCCTCAAACATTTTCACTTGCCGATGAATATTTACATCTTTTAATAGTTTTATGTTTATTTTACTAACTAAATAATTATTCATCCCAATTTTTGTTTCTTACTCGTGGTATTTATTTAAGAGAAATCCTAGCAGCGGTGGTGCCTCCGCTGCTGTGTTTGAAATGTTCCAAATCAACACACTTTCACTCTGCTGCACTCCAGTTTTTACAGTTTGTATTTCCACATTTTAAACAGCTTCTGTTAGCACCGAGTCTAAGAAGACTTATTAACAGAATTCAAAAAATTACGGTATTTAACTGCCCAAGCTGTGATGATAGGAGACATTGAAGGCTTTGCATTGCACTGGTTTTAAAACTAAGAACAGTCCAGTTTGGCTTGATTTTCCGAGTAAGTCAGAAGGATCAGGACAGGATGCACAGAACCTCTGCAGTGAAGCGCTCCCAGCATGGAGCTGATGGAGTAAAGAGGACTCTGTCAGAAGCACCTCTGGCTACAGAGACAGGCACTCCTTCTAGTGTGATGTATCATGTCTCCTGGTTTAAAAATAGTGGTAAATCACCAAGATCACATTCTCCAAAGGTACTGAAATTCATATATCCTTTGGGGAAAAAATGGGTTTAATTGTTCCTTTTATGGAGTTTACAAAAGTGACTTCTGTGTTGACTCAATACAGACATTTTGGAAAAAATGTCATTTAATCATTTTTATTATTTATATAATAGAATGAGTCCGGCTATAGTGTTTAAAATTACATAAAAGAAACATTATCTCAGTATAATATTTTTCATTTGTCTAGCATTGATTAAATATGTGTGCATATGTGTGTATGTGTATATGTGTTTATATGCAAATGTGTGTATGTATGTGTGTGTGTATGTGTGGGGGGGGTGTGGTTGTGTCACATGCAGTAAATTTTTTGCTATTAAGTTAATGGCTACTATAATGAGCCTTAAAATTTTCAGTCTTGAGGTTACTTTCTTATTTAAAAAATGTATATTGTATATTTTATTAACTAGGTTGAAAGTGAGGTTAAATTAGATAGCGTAATATATGTATAAATTATTAGAATTGGTGCGATATATGAGAAGCAAGTGTCAAGCAGGAGTTTGCACAGAGTTCTTAAGGGTCAAAGGAAAGCGAATTTTCTAGTTGTTTATTTATGTCTAAACAATGTCTCTATATTTCACTTCTTAGGAGTTCTGGTCTCTCACATAGTTATTCTTTGTTACTATTTTTCTGTTTGGGTTTGTTTTCTTAAGGTAATTTTTTTGAGGGGATCACAGGCTAGGAAAAGAGGAGAGAAATTGCTATTTGCAATTGTCCCCTGTATTAGCCAACAAAGTTGTAGATCCAGACCAAATCTGTCATAATGCTAACAAAATATTTTTAAAATGAAGTTCAAAGGAAGTAACACATCACGTCTAATTCCAATTTCATGTGTTTCTTTTCCGGTCTTAGGTTATTTGGTGTCCATGATGTCTCCATATCTCCAGCTCACCCTATTTTCCTGTTATCCCTTTAACCGTGGAGACACCAATGACAAGCTCTATCTATAGAAAGGTACTTTTAATAATCATCCAATGATCCCATAATCCTCCTGTTTTATGTGTTTTTGAAGAGTCACATACAATCATTCTCCAAAGAAGAAACACAATATGTTGTTGCTTTAAACTGAAGGTCACATGCAGAAACTTAGTCCTCAGTGTGATGTGTGAGTAGGTAGGAACTTTAGGAACTGAGTTAGTTGTCATTATGAAAGAGGCTGCTTACATTAATCATGGTGGCACATGCCTACAACCACAGGACTGATGAGGCTGAGGCAGGAGGATGGTAACTTTGACAGTAGCCAGAAATATTCTTTCTGGCCCCCACCGCTGTTATGCATAAGTGCATGAGACTCTAGAGGGACAGCCAGCCCATTTTAGGATATAAACACAGCAAAAATATAGCCTTCAATAAACCAGACAATGAGCCTTTACCAAAAGTAGACTTTCCTATGCTAGAAACTCAATGTGGTACTTCCCTGCCTCCAGGAATTGTAACAGAATGAACTTCTTAATAGGTATTCTTTTATGGCAGTCAGAACCAAATGTGACAATTATTCTGGTTTTACTGATGAGAAAAATGTAAACTTAAAGGTATTGAGCCTATACACTGAAGGTCTTTCAACTCATCTTTAAATATAAGAGATGACTTACCATAATACCAGTTATATCTATTATTAATATTACCACATTGCTGCTGGGGCTCTTCACTATAGCAGAGACTGCATACTTCTGCCAACCTGAAATGTTCCCCTATTGAAGTTTTCAGTGTAAACACTTTGTGTGTGCGTGTGTATACATGTTATTCTTTTCTGTCTACTTGAAGCATGCTTGAGAAGTTCTCCAAGCCGAGTTTGCTAATGGCTTTTATAAAGGACCGACAGCTTTTACATATCTTCCACATCGTTGAGTTTTGAAGTGGACTGTGGCAGCTGACTACATAACATGGTCTCAATAAATCTATCAATTGGACACTTGGCTCAACAGAATTTCAAAAGTCTCATAGTGGCCCCAGGTGCATTTGACAAAACTGTCCCTTCTCAGCAGGAACATGTGAAAATCTAAATGCAGTGTTGGCCTTGGTTAGAAGAAAGGCCCAGAAACATCAAGGGTGGCCGAATGTACAAATCCAAAATCCTGCCTTTGAACCTGTCTTAACAACTCCTATTCAACACTGCCAGAAGTCAGAAGCACTCCATCAAGGGCAGTCTTTGCTGCTTGAATTTATGTTCTATGTAATGCTGGTGACCCTCATTCAAGAGCGAGGTCAGCTAAGGGCAACCCTTTAGATGGAAGATAACTCACTTGTAATAGCAAATTTAGGACTGAAGAGTCAGAGCTATTAGCAAATAGACACGGTTTAGGTACAGGCTGTTGTGCTAAAGAAAATTGTGAGCTTGACAGAGTGGAGTTAAAGTTCACCTTTGTATTCAAATTTCATATCACCAACTTTTCCCTCACCAAATCCTATCTACATTGATAGACTACCAATTTTTTTAAGGAATTAAATCTTTTAAAAACAGTGCTGGTCTGTTGGGGTGATGGTATTTATATCTCTCAGTTCTTTGATTCTTCTGCTTGCATTGCACAGAAGAGCAGGAGATACACCTGGGAACAGAGAAGGTAATTGAATGTCGACTGATACAGGAAGGTTGTAAGGATCTACATTCTAGATGCCTATTTTATTGTCTGATATCTGCCTCTTAATTCCCTGTGCTTAAAGGGGTCATTGTAAATGGATGCATGGATTTTTAATTAAGTATTAGCATTCACTACCATAGCATCAAGGAGTTCATCCCATGCTCTGATTTCCCTAACAAGGAAAAGGAGTGGAATACTCAGGTCTCTGCTTTATGAACAAAAGAGTCAAAAGAACAAGAATGATTTGGAGAAAGAGAAAAACAAGCTCTCACAATAATCAAGAAAAGATCATTGAAATTATGAGAGCCTTACTAGGGTGAAAAAATAAAACAAACAGAGCGAACTGGAAGTTACGAGAAGGCTATTATGCCTTGGATGTGGGCACAGGAGCAGTGGTTACTCCTAGAGAAATGTCACATAAGGAGAACGTTGATGATTTTGTAGGGAAAGGAATGGTTTTTGAAAGAAAAACTGACTTCTTATTATTGGGGAAAATTATAAAGGCCACTCCACGTAGTTAAAAGGAAGATTTATTTAGTGGATGACTTACAAATGAAGGAATGGATAGGTTGCTGGGGTCTGGGGAAGGTGTATCGCAATCCAGCGGTGTTCTCTGGAGCTCTGCACAGTCAACCTCCACCGTCCAGGGTCCAGGCGCAGAGAGAGCACACAGAGAGAGGACTGGCCCATCCAGCTCTCGGGTTTCCAGCGCTTCCCCTCACCCCGCCTCGTAGGCGTGACAGTTGCCAGAGTCTCAATGGGGGTTGGAACTTCCAGATCCAAGCTGGAATGGCTACCCACTACATCTTATGCCCTATGGCACTCTGGTCTGACAAGGTAACAGTGATATCTTGGATTATTAAAGTTTTGTTCAACCCTCACAACAAAACAACATGAATATTATTGACACTTGAGAGATGAGACTGTAAAAGCAGAAAAATTAAGTATATTAGAACAAAGTAAATACATTTCTGCGACAATTTAAACTGTTCCCTCCGCGCCCTCCCCCCCCCAGTTGTGCCAACCCTGACACAGACTCATATTTTGAATGCTTTGTGCCTCGCTAATGACACCACTCTGGGAAGTTGTAGAACTTTTAGGAGCTTTGAACCATACTGGAGGAAGTAGGTCATGGATGATCATTTTTTGAGTGGATCTTATCTCTGGATCCTTCCAGCCATTGCCTCTGTTTTGTGTCTAGTCACCATGTGAGAAGCTATACCACTTGGCATGTCACCATCCCTTCCCTACCCTGATGGACTGGTCTCCTGAAACCATGGATCAAAACAAACCTGTTTCCTTCGCTGTTTCCAGAATTTGGTGACAGTTATCAGCAAACTAGCAGACCGTCCTAAACAAAGGAGAAGTCCAAACTCCAAGTTCAGTCTTCAGAAAAGTGGCTAATTTGACGGCTACACCCATCCTTGTATTTCACAAATCCTACGCAGTGAGACCCAGAATCTATCGGAAGCGTTTTTACTGCTTCTGTCATTTCTTATGTAAACATGAAGGTGATTTTTATTTTCTTTCACTGAGAGAAACAAAGGTAAACAAATAAGAAAGCAGAAAACATAAAAGTTTGAAATGTTGAGATTTAAAATTATATGAGAGACATAAACTCCTTAACTTCCTGCTCCCCGCAGAGAGCAGTCTCCCCAAGTCCCATGAAATTAACACCTGTTTCAACACCTTCTATTTCAGTAGTTAGCATAAATTTTCTGTTCTCATTTAATATTCAGTTTTCTTAGTTAATTTTACATTTTATTTTCTCTTCCAAACACCTTCTTTATGTAGACGGGACTGACATGTTTTGTGTTCATTATATAGGTAAGGAAGGTGGCATTGTTTCTTATAGCTGATAACTAACAAAACTGGAATTTGAGCCAGAGTCTCTTAGAAACCCAAGGTTTCTTCCCAGAATCCCACATTGCCCAAGACAAATGTGGTAAGAATCTGAAGATGAGTATTTTCCACCACAAGAAAAGAGTTAATTTTTTAAACTGCCTTCCATCTCTAAGAGGCAGTCACAAGTTGGGAAGGCTTCATTTAGTCCATCTTCTGACAATGAATAAGAAGCAGTTTGGGATTCCCCAGAGCTTAAGATGTCTGTTATACAGAGAGGGCTTCCTGTAATTAAAGCTTATATTACATTTGGATGGAAGCGGCAAACTCCCCTCTGAAGCATGCAGCCATATGTAAGCTTTGATTTAATAAAATAGAAATCAGACATCAGTTGGAGGTGAGATTTGCTAGGATTAAGGTGTCAAATAAAGCTGTGTTCGGGGCAGAGTTGACAAAACCTTTCTCTTTGAGTTTCCACAAACTAAAGGAGAGGCTACGCTGATCCAAGGAACCTTATTTTAGAAGTAGGTGGGGGGAAAAGGGGTCTCTTGCTGAGAGCTGGACACACACAGCTCTCACCAGGACATTCAGAAGATTCCGTGAACAGATGATTTTAAAAGCTCTAACCAGCTCAGCCTCCAGTACTAGCAATTTCAGACGGCGCAGGGGTCGGAGCACTAATGTGGCTTTCTGTCCTTCATCTGTTGTCCTCTTGGCTAGCCACTGATGGAGTACAACGTGCAATGTACTGGGAAGTCCCCAAGGTGAAAACACATCAGTCAGCCTCAGCCTGGGAGCTTGCTTTTAGCTTTAAGTCATTTTTCAGTTTCTTCCCTGACTCTATCTTTTCCTAACCACATTAAGAAGCAAATAACACTTATGACCTCTCTCCCTTAAGGTTGGCTTTTTGGTTTGGGTTGCTAGCTGAATATATCACTTCTCTCACGCGCTCATGTCTGCGTGTGTTTATGTGGCATGAGTGGAGCTATTTGCTAGAGATTTTCCATGTCACTGGAGAAGATGCCATCTTATGCTTGGATCCCTAGAACAGATTTAGAGATAAAGAGTTCAGAAGACACAGTGGGAACTCCTTACTCCTTACAGCCAGTCCTGGGGGCTGGGGGCAGGGCAGGGACGGGAAGAAGTTGGATGCTATCGGGGAAATATGTTCCCCTTACCTCCTCTGCGACAAGAAACCCTCAAGAACAGATGCTAACTGTGGGTTAGGCTTAGGGTTAGGGTCGGGTTAGGGTTAGAGTTAGGCAGTCAACAATCAGTTCCTGCTTTGACTTTAGATTCTCTGTCTTCTGAATAATAAGAAATAGAGTTTCTATAGTTTGTTAGCTACCCGTTTTCTGGTATTTTATTGCAGTATCTCAAATTGTCTAAGAAAGCCGCAAAGGTACAATTCCCAGCATCCTCCTCCTAATGATATTCTCAGTGTCTCTTTCATGGGATGACTTCCTATAGGCAGGACAGTGTGCTTTTCTTTGTACATCTTACCAGTGGTCATTACTGAGGAAAAGTCAGCCTTCACAAATGATGCCATGTCCACTGAACTAAGCCGAACAAATGTACTTCAAAGCTAGAAGAGGTGATCACAGAAGCAACCTAACCAAACCAAGGGGCTCCAGCTCTCCAGAGTGCCTCAAACACATTGTCCAATCCTGCTAACTAAATGCATGCTGCCAGGACTCTTGACTTCTCAAGTCAGAGTGAATAGCATTCTCAAAAGAAATAGAGAGACCTGCATGGATCCCGATTGTTACTCAGAGTCTATACAGGAAGATAGCCATTCTTCTGTTTGTGTGTGTGCGGTTCTAGGGATTGACCTAGGGCTCATGTGTGTAAGCAAGTCTCTGCCATTGACCTACACTCTCAGCTTTCATTTTACTTTGTAAAAATCTGAAATAAGGTGTCAGTGAGTTGTCCAGGCAGGTCTTGGACTTTCATCCCACTAGTTTATCCTCTTCAGTAGCTAGAGTTATAGGCTTGTGGCCCTGTGTCTGGCTTCATAAAATTTCTTAAAATTTGACTTTGAGAAAATTACACTTAGTTGTCTTGGGACAGAAGTGAGCTTTCTAGGGTTTGTAATTAGACAATGTATGCCTTAAGAAAGACATGAAGAAGGAAGCAGAGCCCACTAAAGTATTATGAATAGTGGGTTTGCAGTTTGCTTGTACAGCCCACAAATACTAGCCTTTGAGATAAATTAATCATAATCCTATGTGTTTTTTCCTGAACAGTTCTTAAAATGCCTTTATTAATCAGTGTGTGTGTGTGTGTGTGTGTGTGTGTGTGTGTGTGTGTGTGTGTGTGTAGATCAGAGGACAACTGAGGAAGTTATTTCTCTTTCTCTTCTTCTATGATATATGTCCTGGGGATCCAAATCTAGTTATCGTCCTTCATCACAGACTTCTTTACCAGCTGAGTCACCTCCCCAGCCCTAATCCTCCTTCTCAACAGAATACTTCAAAATACCTTTCTGTTTGTACCCAACCTTCCAGTACAGGCAAACTATCTTTTGAAATTGAGGTGTGACCATGAATGGGTACTCCTTTAGTCCCAGCACTGGAGGCAGGGGCAGGGGCAGGGGCAGACAGATCCCTGGGAATTCAAGGCAGGACTGGTGAGGAAAGCAAATGTCAGGCTACACAGTGGGACCCTGTCTCCAAAGAAAAACAGGAGAAAAAACCTAGAATGACAAAAGAAAACAGAAAGCATCTGAAAGGCCAAAATTAATTGTGTCTTTTAAAAGCAAGTACACGGTGATTGATTCTCTTTCCTCTGACTTTTTTTCCAGAATGGATGGACTGTCTGGATCTGCTCTCCTCTTCTCTTCTTCCTCAGTGATCTACTCTGCCAGCACTGGATTGGAGACTGTATTATCAAAGCAGTAGAATGGAATGACAGCGCAGTGTGTTCAATGAGCATCTCTTCTCGTTCTAGCTTGGCTATGCTCCATAGCACACATCCATTCATTCCAAAGCATGGCTGCAGGCAGGGCAATAATCAAGTGCTAAAGAGTGGGTAGAATAGAAAGTTTGCAATGCAGGTATTCAGGGAAAGTTCTTTTTTTTTTTTTTAAAGTATTGTCTGCTCAGACCAATCATTTCTATAGATAGATGAACTCCATTTCAGGGAGAGGAAAGATATACATACACATACAGATTATGGCAGGCTGGGGAACTGCCTGCAGAGCCTTTAAGAATGCACTTAAAACATAATCTCAAAGTAATCTTCATCGATATTAACAAATGCATAATAATTACAATGGTAGGACTGCAAAATCTTTATAGAAAGGCTAAAATTATGTAGTTTGAAATCTAGGACTATTAAAATGTGGAAAACAGCCGGGCGGTGGTGGCGGACACCTTTAATCCCAGCACTCGGGAGGCAGAGCCAGGCGGATCTCTGTGAGTTCGAGGCCAGCCTGGGCTACCAAGTGAGTCCCAGGAAAGGCGCAAAGCTACACAGAGAAACCCTGTCTCGAAAAATCAAAAAAAAAGTGGAAAACAGTTGGTTTCAGGGGGCATGACATCTGGGGTAAATGTGCTAGCTGTTGTTCTCTAGCTGTAGAACTGGGGGGCGTGCTGTGTGTGCCTGTGGTGTGCTGGAATGTCTGCTGTCTGATGCCACCTCATCTTCCAGGCCTAGTGTACATGGTACCCCGTGAGAGTAAGTAGAGAAATAAAACTTGCTTTCTAGATCTGATTAAACTGACCAATGACAGGTGTGGGGAAGAGACTACAAGGTAGAGGAGAGTTAGACTGCTGTGTTTATTTCAACTCCTTCTGTACTGCTTGAATGACAACTATAATTCTGTTGGTGATTGGATAATAAACGCTCTCTGACCCTGAAAGGCATATTGAATGATACACGTTTGCCTATTGATGTGTTTTCATGCTATGTCCTAATGAAATATACCAAGGAGGAGTTGTACATTTCTTGTTATCTCTGAGTTCTAAGCTCTCAATTTCTCTATTTGGCTTTGGGACCTGGTCTATAACAGGAAGGTAGAATTGCTTTGCCCAGTTCTAGCACCTAAGCTTTAGAAAGTATCAGTTATGATGAGCACCATAAAAATAACAATAATAAATTATTCAAAAATAAAAATAGCCACATGCTAAAGAATGGGAGTATGTTTTGTATTAAGATTGTGCATAAAACATACACATAATGACATAATTTTGGAAATGCATTTTCACAGAATAGTACTATTATACTGCTTATGACACATAATGTCATTTTCAATATAGTCTATATGCTAGTCTCATATAGAAATATTCTAATAACAACACCCTAAACCACATGTCCCCAATAGACATGTTATTGCCCCCAACAGATCAAAATTTGTATTTGGAGAAAAAGTAAACTCAGACAATACAATGACTTATGGCCCTCTAAAGCATCATGACATATAAATAGGTGTGTTATATGTCTCTGGTATTAAAATTTCATGATTGTGGGGATTAGGAAAAATATATCTGAAGAATCTCCTTATGGCACAACAGGGAAAAATGTTGGGGACCATGGTGAAACTAACCTGCAGTTTCCAAAATACTGTTTAAATATTCAAAAGGACAAAACAAATGTGCCTATTATTCATACCATTAGGAGGCAAATGAGACCAAAGAGAGGAGGGAGCAGAAGTCCCTGGAATAGTAGTTTGTGTCTCAGAGTACTCTG